TTGGCGGTGATGTAGGCGGCATATATTGTCTTCTCGAGCGGGGTGTACCGGAGCTCAGCATTCTGGAGGGCCTTGCTCACATAGTAGACGGGACGTTGAACGCCTTCCTCCTCGCGAACCAGCACGGAACTGATTGCGCCTTGGGAAACCCCAAGATAAAGGATTAACGTCTCCCCCCTCTCCGGCTTGCTGAGTAAAGGCTCAGAGAGGAGGTACTTCTTCAGGTCGTCGAAGGCTCGTTGACACTCATCATTCCAAACGAAACCATTTTGTTTCTTTAGGACCTGGAAGAAGGGTAGGGACCTTTCGGCGGACTTGGACATGAAACGTCCAAGGGCTGCTAGCCGGCCGGTGAGAATCTGGACTTCTTTCACCGACCTCGGGGGTTCCATGTCAAGTATTGCCCTTACCTTCTCAGGATTTGGCTCAATCCCCCTCCGTGTGACCATGTACCCCAGGAACTTGCCTCCTTGGACGGCAAAGGTACATTTCTTCGGGTTCAGGCGCAGACGGACGGCCTTCATGATCCCGAAGATCTCTGCCAAATCATCTGCATGATCGGATGCCCGGGTGCTCTTGACGATCATGTCGTCAACATACGCCTCCATGTTCCTTCCGAGCACCTTCCGGAATACCTTGGCCACCATCCTCGTGTACGTCGCCCCAGAGTTCTTCAGCCCGAAGGCCATGACAAGATAACAAAAAATCCCCTCTGGGGTGACGAATGAGGTCTTCTCCGCATCTTCTTCATGCATGAAAATCTGATGGTATCCTCGAAAAGCGTCCATGAAGCTAAGGAGCTCACATCCGGCCGTCCCATCGACTAGTTGGTCGATGTTAGGCAATGGGAATGGATCCATCGGACATGCCTTGTTGAGATCGGTGTAATCAACACACATCCTCCAGGTTGGCGGCTTCGGGGCCAGGACCACGTTTGCCAGCCAAACCGGGTACAAGACCTCCCGGATATGCTTGATACTCAGGAGCATGTTGACCTCCTTCTTCACGAATTCCCTCCTCTCGGTTGAGAGGTGTCTTCTTTTCTGCTGGATGGGCTTCGCCGTTGGATTGACCGCCAGCCGATGGACAGTGATGCTTCGGTCAAGTCCAGGCATGTCCTCCGGTCCCCACGCGAAGACAACGCTAAAAAGGACAAGTACCTGGATAATCTTCTCCCTCAAGCCGATCGGGAGCCCGGTCCCGATCTTGACCTTCCGCTCCGGCCTCTCAGGGTCAATCTGGATCTCCTCCACGTCTGAGGTGGGTTCAGCGCGGAGCTGACCCTCCTCATACTTCATGGCTTTGCTGTTGATAGTGTGGATCCTCAAGTCTTTTTGACCGATTTGTTTGCAAGCTTTCAGATAGCAGCTCCTCGTCATTCGCTGATCTCCCCTGGCGACTCCGACGCCATTCGGAGTGGGAAACTTCATGCATAGGTGCTCCTGGGATATCACACATCTGAGGTCTTCCAGGGCCGGCCTTCCCATGATGATCTTATGCGCACAAGTTAGGCGTACGACGATAAACTCGATGTCTAACTTGGATACGCAGGGCTCGGAGCCCACCATCACAGGGAGGACTATGCTGCCCTCCGACTCAATGGAGTCCCCGGTGAAGCCTGAGAGTGGGGTTCTCACCGGGATCAAGTCTTTTCGGTCCAGCCCGAGACCTTGGAAGGTGTCATAGTACATGATGTTAACGGAGCTCCCATTGTCCACCAGGACTCGGTGGACGATCGTGTTGTTGATTTCGACCTTGATGACCAAGGCATCCCTGTGCGGCGGAGGCATCGGTGGCAAATCTGCGTCGGTGAAGAAGATGGGGTCCCTCTTCACCCTCTTGTCGGCGGGAGCCCTGGTTATCTCCCTGACGTATAGGGCTCGGGCCCACTGCTTCCGCTCTCCAGAGGTGTCGCCTCCCTGGGGTCCCCCGAACATGAACGAACATCGATGGTACTTCCGGGGGCCGTTCCCTAGGTCGGCATCGTCTTCCTCGGAGAAGGCGCCGAGCTCCCGCTTCTTGGTAGGGGGTGTCTCCTTTGACGTGGTAGCTTGGTCGGACCGCTGCCACGTCAGGCTCCTCTTCTGCGGGATGCCTCCTTGTTTGCCAACGAATTGGCCCAGGTACCCTTTCTGGATGAGTTCTTCAATTTGCCGCCGGAGAATGACGCAATCATCTGTATCATGCCCTGCTCTCCGATGGAATCGACAATATTGGTCGTGGTTGCGCTTGGCAGTCACCACATCACACTCCTCAGGAAAGTCGACTAAACCTTGCTCCTCCGCGTAGTCGAGGATGGCCCCGACCGGCTGAGCAAGTGGAGTCAATTGCTTGACGGGCTGTAGCGGTCCGCTCGGGACGTCCGCCTTGCCCTTGCCCCTACTTTTGTTACCTTTGTATTTGTTGTTTTTGTTGTTAGCTTTGCCGTCAGCTTTCTCAGCACCCGAACCGGCTTCCTTCTTCTTTTCTTCTTTCGCACCTTCTTCCTCATCTCTTTTCCTCTGCAAGGCGTCCTCCGCCTCGGCTTGCCGGTCGGCACGGACGAGCACCTCCTCGTACGAGGTAAGGGGACTTCTGACGAAATCTTTGTAAAGCTCACCCGATCGGATAGAGTTTGTGAGCATGGCCACCCCGGTCCTGTCATCAAGGCCCTGAACCTTGACTGACTCGGCCCTCCACCTCGCTAGGAAGGTCGACAATGATTCTTTCTTCCCCTGTTTTAGGCCGAACAGGTGGCTGAAGTTTTTCTTGACGTCTCGGGAGCTCGCGAACCTCAAGAGAAAGCGCTGAGCCAACTCACGGAAATTCGTGATACTCCCGTCGGGTAGAGAGTCATACCATTCACGAGCCGGGCCATCCAAAGTGGCGGAGAAACCGCGGCATCGGATTGCGTCCTCGTACCCCATCATGACCATGTAGGAAAGGTACCGAGATACATGATGTTGGGGGTCAGAAGCGCCCTTGTATGCTTCAATGGCGCATGGCTTGTAGCCCCTCGGCAACGGCGCATCCATGACCGCCCGGGTGAAGGGTTCAGGTATCCGGAGGTCGGCCGTGTAGGGCTCCCCCCCGACGACCCTCCTTCTCAACTCGTCAAGGCGCTGTCGTAGATCTTCCACCTCGGCCGGCGGTGGGTTCCCCCGGACAGCTCCAGCGCGGGGCTGAGCATGTCCGGCGGCACCTCCAAGTCGTCCGTGCACGTGAGGTCGGGGCCCCACATTTTGCCTCTCCGTGGAGCCAGTCCGACTGCTCGCCCGGTGAGAGTGGCGAGAGGGCTCGCCTCCTTCCATCTGCGTTGGGCGTCCCTGCTGGGCGCCCCTCCCCGTCTGCCGATGGGGTCGGCTAGGCTGCTGAGAGACTTCTTCCCCCCGCCGATGGGAGACTTCTTCCCCCCTGTTTTGGTTGGATCCAGAGCGTCGCTCATCACGCCTCCTGGAGGACACCTCCACATCCGCTGGCGTCTGTTGACGGGCAGGCTCATCCACATTTCCGCCAGACACCATCTGTTGGAAATTTTGAGCCAAGGTCCCCAGAACCCGAGTTGCCTCCTGCAGAGCTTCCACCCCGGCATTGAGTCGAGCCGGGTCCATGCGCGGAGCATGACGTCGGCCTCCCCCCCGCCGGCTGCGGACCGAGCGCTCACCTTGAGTGTGGTTGAGCGTCGCCCTTAGGTCGCCGTGGCCTGATAATTGGTTCCGAAGGTCGCCTTGGCGCGCCGCCCTCCTGCCCTGTGCATGGTTGTCGAGGGCACGCTGGCGGCCAGACCGGGCGGACTCCTCGGTGTGGACTGAGACATGGTCACGTCGAGACGAGATTCCAGCCATCTTCCTGTGTGATTCCTGCTCAAGTTATGTGAGAGACAATAGAGGCTCTCAATGAAAGCACCAATGTTGGTCCAAAATAGGACGCTCGTAGGCTTTTAGGAAAGCTACGTACGACACTCAAGCAAGAATTAGGAAAGTACGAATATGGAAAGTTAGCCAGAAATAGCATATCTGTATTTGAAATTCGAATTCCCTTTTATAGGCGATTACAAATGGTAACTGCCGAACATAATAATGACTAAATTAATTACAACATTAATACAGAATTAAACACATAATTAAGTAGCGCATTGATTGTTGGCCATTACTCTTCCTGGCTGGCAGGTCAGCCTGGCTGGCAGGCTGGACGCTTGAGCTCCCTCCTGCTGGACTGGACGGTGGGCTTCCCGCTAGGCTGGAGGAAGGCTTCTCACCGGGCTGGAGGCAGGCTCTCGGGTAGGCTGGAAGGCAGGCTCCCGGGTAGGCTGGAAGGCAGGCTCCCCGATGGGCTGGAGGCAGGCTCCCACCTGGGCTGGACCGCGGGCTCCCAGTTGGGCTGGATCACAGGCTCCCAACGGGCTGGTGGTCGGCTAGGCTGGAAGGCAGGCTCCCCACTGGGCTGGACCGCAGGCTCCCAGTTGGGCTGGACCGCAGGCTCCCGGGTAGGCTGGAAGGAACGCTCCCGGGTAGGCTGGACCGTAGGCTCCTAGTTGGGCTGGACCGCAGGCTCCCAACTGGGCTGGTGGTCGACAGGCTCCTGGCTAGGCTGGAAGGCAGGCTCCCGGGTAGGCTGGACCGCAGGCTCCCCGCTGGGCTGGTCGACAGGCTCTCTTGGGCTTCCGCTCCTTGATTGCCCTGGTTGGTCGGGCTGACTCGAGCTCTGGGTTGCTGGGCTTGGGCCCGCTGGTCCAAGTTCGGGGCCTGGGCTGATTAGGCTCTGAGCCTAGTCCCATAACCCCATCAAGTATAGTCTTTTATATGTCACTTAAAATCTTACAGAAAATTCAATAGGAATGACATACGTACTACGGAGTATATGTTATTCTTTTATATATATATCACATTATCACACAACATTTTTTATTCATACACACTTGATCTCAAGCAAGCAACTACGAAAAAGTGCTACTGATTCCCAGCTATAGGCCCATCCCGACCTCTTTTGAAATCATCCCACCCTCTCACCCATTCCTGTCCGGGAGTGGCGCGAGTCTCAGGGGACGCGTGTTTGTCGAGGTTGTTTAGGACCTTTTCATGTACAGCAGTGAACACCTAGAGCCAACATTTATTCAGTTAGGAACCGTTAGTGCAAAGACAAATCTGAATTTGGGATCTGCTTTCTTACAGGATTGGTTCTTATTGCATCTGGAGCTTGCTCCTGACCTGTCAACCACTTCCACAGATCTGGATTCTCCTGCAAGAAAGAGAATAAATAAACTCAAAAAAATTACTTCTTTTGTCAGTGAAGAAGAAAGACTATTTAAGCCCATTTCATTCAATCATCAAATGATAAGAACAAAACGGGAATAGCCCTCAAACTTATGCATAGAAAGCTCATAAAATCCCTCCTATTCTGACACGCTCAAGTGTGTGATTGTGTTATTCACATCCATCATAAAACATGCTCTCATGTCCCACTAACACTTCATCATTTTCCTTTTATAATGTGGTTTATAGTATTACTATTTGTTTTGCATAAACTCAACTACACAATTTTTACTTCTATAAAAATGTAACCAAAAATACAGATGTGACAATGGTTAAATAGGGCCTCTCAACACAACCACATCTATTAGACCTTGTCCAAAAGACAAACTCAGATTTGTGCTGATCTTTATATGTATTGATAGGTTGGTTAGTCTGGTAACTTTTAGAGGAGAGTTAATTATTTTTTCGTAGACACTCAGATTTGTGCTGATCTCTATTAGACATTGTCTGCGCTTCTTTGTTGTGAAACAACAGTCAGTTCATGCAATTTTCAACGTGATTTTTACCATGGTTCATCCGGAAACAGTCTCTTTGTGATATAGTACAAGGATAAGGCTACGTACATCCGACCCCCTTACCCCACCATAGGTAGGAAACTTTGTGGCACTAGGGTAATGACGATGATGATGATGAATGGTTGCTTAATTTATATTGTTTTTAATAATATTTTAATAAACTTTTATTTTAAATCATCTATTGTTCTTCCATTATTGATCATTGTTTAATCCAAAGTCACAGAATAATATCCTTAGTTGTAATAATAGAATGGTGAGTGTGAAGAGTTTCATTCACTATCTTAAGTAGTGGATAATGAGCATACTTATGTTTACCTATAAGTCTAGTTAGCTATTTGACTTGTGATTTCCGAAAGAAATCTGTATGATTTAAATTATGTGAAAACTCGTTTACAATAGTTTATTCGTACCGAGTTATTAAAAAGTTCTATAGTTCTTTACTCCTATTTGTATCCATTATAACCATGAAGTTGTTAGTTCAGAATTTCTTAGTACAGACCTTTAGGGCTAGTTTAGTTGGGTGTTTCGGGGGAGACGGAAGGGGAGGGTGATATTGTTTTAATTATACCTACATTTGGAATATTATAAATAAAGTGAATATAAAAACCATATACAAATACACGGTCTAACTGATCATGTAGTTATTTCTAGTCTAACAATAACAAATAGAGATAAATTAGTAAATGCTTCACATAAATCAATTGTTTCCTCCCCTCCCATCCGAAATCCCCAAACCAAACGAGCCTTTAAGGTTCCACCCACCAAAAAATTGTCTTCCTTTGCCTCTTTACCTATTTGTCTTTTCATTGAAATCTTAGTGTAAATGTTGATTCCAAAATTGGTAGTTGAATGTGATCAGTTGATCACTAATATGAATCACATTTAGTGATACGGTTAGGCTGTTAGCTGTTCATTGTACTGAATATCAAGTAATAAGCAAGAATGAATCATGAAATAGAGATACCATATCTGCTACAATGGGCTGAATGATAAATCTTTATGCAGATTGCAGAATATATCATAGGAAAAATATGAACGAAACAGAAGGAAAGAAACAAAATTTACCGCATCAAGAACGTGAACAAGTGCCTTGATTCCATTTGCATCCATAGAATGTATATGATTCTCCACCCAATTACCCAGAATGAGGTCCAGCTCTAGGTACCCTCTCTGTTTGCTCCTATATACAAGCCTATAAACACGAGAATTAAAAACCAATGATATAGTAATATTAAAAAATACGGAGTAAAATTTAAGATAAAAAAATTCTCCAAGGTAAGACACCTGTTGAACAAGCGCCTTTTGGCCTCTTCGTCAGAGAGGTCGATATCAACGTTGGAAGAGTATAAGCGCGATGTAGAACTCAAATACGGCCTGATAAAAATGGAAAGAATAAAAGAAGCGAATGATTATAAAGCTGAAATCGGGAGAAGCTCTCAATCCTGTTGAGAAGAAAATTGGATTGGGTACCTGGAAAGACTGTGGGAGGAGATCGGATTGGTCCGGAAGGATGGACAGTTTCTGGCATTAGAGATAAATCGAGGAAGGGATAAGAAAAGAGTAGACTTTCTGATGCCCGCCATTCTTTTTTGTTTCCTTCCTCAGGGAGATCGAAGGTGCCGTTTGAAGGTCAGGGAAGCTGAGATTTTTGTAGTCCGAGTCCTTGGTGCGTGGCCTTTATTTATCCGCACATCTAAATGAGCTATTCTGTGTGTATTTTATAAAGGGAAAAGGGCCATATATACCCTTACGGGAACACATATACCCTTATACTAATTTTTAGAACAAAATGCTGATAAATTTGAAATTGAGGTACAAATGCACCCTTCCTAACGTTTTAACACTTCTTCCGTCATACACTGTCCTTATCTAACATCACTCTCACCAATAAAACTCTTTCCACCTTCCTTTCTTGTTCGTTCTTTCTTTCCCAGCTCCTCTCAGAAACAACAGATGCCCAAATTCCCTAATTCTTCTTCCCACTCTTATCAATTTTTGTAATGTCTTATTCTTCTATCTCGACTCCATCCACAAGGTCCGTAAAGCATTTGAATTTTGAGGTTGACTATGAAGGACAACTCTAAAAATGCTTTTGTGGACAAACAGCTCCAAGATTTAAATCAGAGACTCCGAACAATCCTGGGCGACGTTTCTACGGTTATCAACTCTTCACTCTCTTCTTCATCCTCAGTGACATAACCTCTTGATCTAGTATTGACATCGTCTACTTCTCTAGCACCTAAGTCTAGAAGGTTATCAATCTCTTCCCACTCTTATGGAAATAGGGTCCCCTCCTTCGCCATCAATTCACAATCCATGGTTACAATAGATTTTTACTCTATCATAAAAAACAAAAATATGACAACTTGACAAGAAATCAATTCACATAAATCAACATGAAATTTAGCTCCTCCATAGAAAAAGTTATTGTATACACACAAAGTGATAGAGCCAGGAAGTATGTGGAGAGAAATTGGGGGATTTAACTTTCAAATTCAGTATTCGTCATTATACTTTGTTAAGTTTTCTAGCTACTTTGTCTAATTCAAGATATCACATTACTCAGGTGAATACTTGGTGACTTTAGTGATTCGATGAGTTCATTGAGTGAGTAGCTCGGTCTTAAACAAGCTGTAAGCCTTGTTTCTGTACAGAGGAGCGATGGATAGGGATGAGATAGTACCGCACATACCTTTGACTTGTTGATGAAAAATCAGATAAACTCATACTACTCTTTCATCTTCATCTGAAGAGGGTTGAGCCGCCTATGCTATGAACACATCCGTCGTCGTGCTATGAAGACAAAGGAGAGAAGAAATTAAGCGATAGAGATAGAGAAAGCCCAGAGAAGGCCCAAACAACTGATTAAAGATGATAGGTTAACGTTAGGTTAGCAGGAAAGTCTTGAAACGTTAGGAAGGGTGCATTTGTACCTCAATTTCAACTTTAGCAGCTTTTTGTTCTAAAAATTAATATAAGGGTATATGTGTTCCCCCACTAATAGGGGTACTCCAGGAAATTATCCTTCTTTCCCTTTTATAAAGTAAGTAGTACTCCAGGAAATTATCCTTCTTTCCTTTTAGTTTCGTCCCAAATTTATCTCTTTTTTCCCTTTTGGTAAAGAATATGTGGTTCACAACCATTCTTACACATTTCTCTTTCCTCTGCATAACTCTCCACCACACAAATCCCACTATCTTAATCCCCGTGCCCAATCAAAACCGAAGTTAATTATGGGACGGAGGAAGTATTTTATACGGAGTAACTTATTTTATAATTGTAGTTTGGTCTAGTCTGGTCTGATCCGTTTAAATTTGGTCTCATCTGAGATTGAAAACGCTCCAAAGGAAAAAATCCTAATAGTAGTATTGGAAAAGTATCAAATTAACTCTGAAACTATTATTAAATAACCCCTTAAATTAAAGAAAACTTTGATAAGTGCCTGAAATCGACAAAAGGTGAAATTACCCAATCCGGACCTCTGGTAAGTTACTTCCGCTAGGTGATCAATAATTCTTTTCAGGGAAATCTGTCAAATTAGAACTCGAAGTATACTAAAAAAGTCAGTCAGACCCCCGGCTAAATAATCACCCAATTAAGACCACAAACCAAATAAAAACTACTCCCTCCGTTCCTATTAAAACTTTCAACTTTCCTTTTTCGTCCGTTCCAATTAAAACTTCCACTTTCCCTTTTTAGTAGAGAATTTGTGGTTCACAACATTTCTTACACATTTCTCTCTCATCTGCACAACTCTTCACCACATAATACCCACTATCTTAAATTGTGTGCCAACCCAATTTGGAAGATAAAATAGGAACAGAGGGAGTATCAAATTTCTAATTTAATCGGTTGATTCTAAGTTAGCGAGTGACATTTGGCACATTTGATTGTTTTTTCTTCTTTTTTTTCATGCTCCGTTCTTCGACAACCACGTGGACAACATTTTTCTTTTAATTTTTTCTGCATTTTCCTCGCAACCCCATCCCCCCCCCCCCTTTCTTTCTTCACCGTTTCAGCCAAGCGCATCCCACCCCCAGAGGCGTATGTACTATGGGGACAGCCGCCCCCTCTTAACCCTCACCCAACCCCTATATATGTATATAAAATATAATTTATATACTGTTGGGTTAATGGCCTATCGGGACCGGCCCATCAACCCCTAGGGCCCAAGAACCAGGGGACGAATGTAGCCCAGCATGGTCAGGCCTCAGGATCCAAGGGCCAGAGGACGTACGTAGCCCAGCATGGCCAGGCCTCAAGACTCAGGTGCCAGGGGACGTACGTCCTAGCGTAACCAGACCTCAAGGCCCAAGGCCCAAGGCCCAGAGGACGTACGTAGCCCAGTATGGCCAGGCCTCAAGACCCAAGTGCCAGGGGACGTACGTCCCAGCGTAGCCAGACCTCAAGGCCCAAGGCCCAGAGGACATACGTACCCACCGGAGGACCAAGCATCAGGGCCCAAGGGCCAAAGGACGTACGTAGCCTCCGGAGGACAAAGCCTCAGGGCCCAAGGGCCAGGGGACGAGCATCTTGTGGACTACGCCTAAGGGCCCAGGTTTCCACCAGAGGGCTGAGTCTGGTTTAGGGGGACGGACGTCCCCCACGCTATGGCGGGAAACCAAGATCTTGGCGGGAAGCGCATTAAATGCGGGAGATTTGGTAGTTGGGATCATGTCGCCCACAGCCGGCCACATCAGCCCCCCCAACCACCATGGGATACTATTACAATTTTTTATTTGTTTTTCAATTTTTTCAAAAAATATATCACAATTCATGAATTTTTATTATCTTTCATATGACAGCAATATGTAATATATAAAATGAAAAAAATCTAAATTTGTAACTATTGGAGTTTTCTTGAGCATGAAAAAACACAAAACACAAATTTTTAATTCATGTAACCTCTACAAATAACTGAATATTCCATAATAAAACTTTACTTGAACTAAGTACATTTTTTGTTACCCGAAAAATGTAAAAAAATTAATGAAATTTATTTATTTTTACATCGAAATGTATATTTTTTATTTCACAATTATCCAGGGAAAACAGAAAAAGAAAAACATTACTTATAATAATTTAATTAATGTTTTTCTAAACTGATATGTAAAAGAATATATTGAATGTATTTTATTGATTGTGCTGGAATGCATGAAAATAAGAATCTAAACATTGTTTTCATGTGGACGGAGTCCATTTTGTCATTTTTTGCCTCCCCACAACTACAAATGGTCTAAGTACACTATAAGAGGCCGTTTGACAACCCTCATTTTCGGCCTATCAGCCAACTTTTTACCAAACACATAAACTTTGCTTTCGCACGCTTAATTGTGTAATAAGCTGAAAAAGTAAGGTTGAAGTTACTTTTCTGGCTGTATTGGCTGAAGTTACTGTAGATGATCATTTTAGCTATTTTTACATATAATTTTTTCTTTCTTTTATTAATAACATATATTTTAAAAATATTTTTTTCTTGTATCAGCACAATCAACCAATGCAACCACTTCAGCCAAAACTTCATAAATTTCAGCAGAATCAGCCAAAACAGCCGATTTTGGTGCTGTCAAACGGGGTTTAAAAGGCACATATGAAACACAAGTTGCGTCAGATGAGTTGGAGAGGGCCTTAGGTCTAACATCTTGTGTGGACCGTGAGGTTGTGGGATCTTCACTTTGACAAACAATTGATATAATTGTTGTATAAGCATTTGGATATTTGTTTCATTTAAGCCATATCTTAACATTTTAATCTCAATCTTCACTTTGACAAACAATTTATATAATTTTTGCAATATGTTATAAATTTAGCTACGTATAATATACTACATTCTTGTAGTAATATGTAGTATAAAATTTTCTCTTGATATTATGATTGTTGATTGCGCTACATAAAAAGACATTCTTGTACATTTTCAATTTAAATTATTTTAATGACATGCATTACTTGTTTTTGTTCAATTAATTTTTTTATTAATATAATTTCACTTAAGTACATGCAAATATGCAATGTTATAAATTGAAGTTTTATCATATCAAATTCTCAAAAATGTGAATCTAATTTTTGGACGAAATTAAAAGTCACGTAATGATTTTTTGTTGAATAAAAACTCATTATTTATTGTCTATTCTAACATAAAATGGTTTCTGGACACGCCACTACCCACTCCCTTCTTCCTCTTCAGCCATCCCCACTGAGTAAATGACGAAACAGAGTTGAAATTGAACAGGTGTTTCCGAATCGTGTTGATGTATTTGTTTTTACGAAAAAGAGTAAAACGGAGTTGAGTACTCCGAATTTGAAGTGGTCATCAGCAGCTTTAAACATTTTCGGAGCTGACAACTCTGAAAGTAATTGGCGTCAGATGATGTCAACCGCTTTACCATTTCAGAACTGACAACTCCGAATGCAGAAGATAAGGATTTCCGAGGCTTTTTATTGGCCCGTCGGATTTTAGCCTGATAAAATTTTTACATAAACTAGCACAGCACACGTGCATACGCACAGGAAAAAACAGTTGATCCTTATATATTTTTGTTGATGATCTAATTAAATACGTAGTATAAAAATGTTTTTTTACAATTCTATAGCATTTCAAAAATAAAGTACAATAAGTTAATATCAAAAAGTATAAATCCATACAACAAATATTCAAAGTAAAAGAAAATTAAAGTAAAAAAATCAACACTATCCATTAGTATAATTAGTACTGTTGGCAACAAATAATAAAATATTGAACTTAATTGTTAGAGTTTTGAAAAACTACTTTAAAGAGAACTTTTAGTGGTAACGTCTAATGCTTTTTTTTTCTTATAATGTATTAAAATTATCAATCCATATTTTGACCCTCGATAACGCCATATATATAAAGCATTGCATGACTAAAATATCTAAAGTTTCTTCTTTTTCTAGTGATAGAGCTAAAAATTTATCGATTATCGTCACATATGTGACAATTATAGAAAAATATCTTCTCATAAGTTTAAAGGGTCTTGAGATAGGAAATATGGGAGAGGAAATTCTCCCGATCAGTTATTATTTCCTTATCTTATACCTAAAAACACTACATAGGAGTGAAAAATTATCTTGCTTATCCTATCGTATACGACAATTTTTAACTGCGACTTATGTTTTGACCACAGTTGTTGTGCCCACATACATAAAATTGTCGCAAAATTGTCATAAATAATATTCACCACAGTTTCTTTAGTCTTTTACGACTGATTACGACCGTGGTAAAAATGATACTCCTTCCGTCCCTAAAAATACTTCCAATTTTCCCTTTTCGTCCGTCCCAAAAAGAACTTCACTTTCCCTTTTTGGCAAAGAATTTGTGTTCACACCATTTCTCTCTCATTTCTCTCTCCTCTGCACAACTCTCCACCACACAATTCTCACTTTCTTAATCAGCGTGCCACTTTATTTTGGAAGAACATTTAGGGACGGAGGTAGTATATTTAGTAGTGTACTTAAAAGCACTACACATAAGATTGAGAGGCAAAATTCTTATTCTCAATTATTAGCATGCTTATTTTCTTATACCTAAAAACACTACGTATGAAAAAAAAAATTCTCCCACTCAATTATTAGTCTGCTAATCTTATATTTAAAAGCACTACATATGAGGATGAAATTTTCCACATCAATTATTAACCTGCTTATCTTATCTTCTTATACCTAAAAACACTACATATGAGAGACAAGATTTTTCCACTCAACTATTAATCCGTTTATCTTCTTATACATAAAAGCGTTACATATGAGAGAGAAAATATTCAGGCCAATCATCAGTGTGCTTATCTTATCTTATATAAAAAGCACTACAGGTGAGAGAGAAAATTTTTCAGCTTAATTATTATTACTCCTAAAAGTTTTACATATGAGAGAGAATTCTCGAGTTCAATTATTAGACTGCTTACCTTATGCTTAAAAGTAATACACATAAGAGAGAAAAGTTTCCCGTTCAATTATTAATCTGCTTATATTATACGTAAAAACAGTTCATATGAGAGAGATTTATTTTTTGCTCAATTATTAGTACGCTTATCTTATACTAAAAAGCACTACACGTGAGAGCGAAAATTCTCC